ATGGGGGAAGACAGTTTTACCTTCTGCTTGCTCCTCGCTGCCAAGCTGCTGTTCTTTTACAATGCTTAGCTCAAGTGGTCCCTGCTTCCTTTCCTTGACCATTCCTGAAGGATCCTGCATATACTCCTGCTTTTGTTTAGCAGGCCAACCTACAGCCTGGGCTCCTCCGCCCAAAGCAAATGCCAAAATATCCACCCCCTCCCCCTGAGCACTGACTGGGGGATGGAGCCTCAGCAGTTGACCAGAGCACACACCTGCTCACCGCCCTTACAGGAAACCGGCTCAGCTGCACTGACCCCCGGCCCACACCTCGACCTTATTTCAAATAAAAATGCAGCCTGATTTCCGATCCAGCAGGAGCAACCTCGACTCTTCCCAACATGGACAATCCCATGGCCAGCAGAATTCCTGCCCTCCCACGTCATCTGCACCAGCAGCCTTTTAAAAAAGGGACAACTTTATCTGAAAGCGATTAACTGCAGAGGCAGTGGCAGAGAAATGCTGTCACAGCAGGTGCCGGACGATCGGTCAGTTCTTCACAAGAGAGAGAAACCTCTTAACTTCTTGTTGTCCACTGTGTAGTGTGGACAGGAATCTGTGCCTTGCCCTGAAGCTCCTTTCACAAGTACCCCCACTGTTCTGCTTCCCCAGGGACCTTTCCCAGGAGATTAAGACCACTCAGCTTTAGATCAGTCTGCGATAAGGATTATAGAGTCAAATGCTATTAAAAAAAGGTGGCAGCGAGCTAATGCTCACAGTTTTTTCTACCAGTTTGGTTCAAGTGACATTTAAATACCCCTTGAATGCAATCTCATAGTTTAGCTTTCACAGAGATCAGAGGGGTTTATTTTATTTGTGAGATAATAAGGGTTAAGGACATATGGGATATCTGTGCTCATCCTAGAGGAGACACACTCTGAATCCGGACAGGACAAGAATCACGAGGTAAAAGGACTTGCCAAAAATTGTTCATCTAACAGAACTGGTGGAGGAGAATTCAGTTATTAATATATTATTAATATATGCTACTATAATTAGCAGCTGGATCCTTAGAATGAAGAATGAAAAATAAATTCCTCCTGGGAATTAAGCAGGAAATAGAAATGTTTGCCAGATACATTTACCTGGCACATCAGTGAACCTCCTTCATCTGAAAAAAATTTCTAGGGGACAATTTAGAGGGCAAGAAGGCACAGGCTGAGCAAACCTGCCAGCCCCAAAGCTCCCAGAAAACAAGCCCACCTCACTCCTATTCTGGATTTATCATGGAATCACAGAATGGTTTGGGTTGGAAGAGACTGTAAAGCTCATCTTGTTCCACCCCCTGCCACAGGCAGGGATACCTTCAACTAGCTCACGTTGCTCCAAGTCCTTGTCCAACTTGGCCTTGAACACTTCAGGGATGGCACAGTTATGTGAGAAATTGGTTAGAATACATTAAAATAAGGAAGAGAGAGATGAGTTTCCTGTCTGTAAGAGTGTGCCTGATGGCAAGTGCTGGAACCACCTTGCTGGAACCTTCCTGAGGAACAGGAAGAACACACACAATTGCAGAATTCAGTTGTATAAACACAGTGGCTAGGGAGAAAAGAACTGAGGAAGGTCAAATTAAAATCCTACTTCTTACCAAACCAGGAGAGATTTCAAATTCAAGAGTCCTTTTAAGCTGGTCACACAACCGAGAGCACAGATTTGCCTTTCAGAAGTTCTTGGGCAAAGTGTGTCTCACCCCACTGCCAGCTGTGGCTGCTCGGTCACCCTTCCAGCTGTTCTGGGAACCAAAGCTTCCACAGAGTCCGAAAAGGGTCAGCCAAATCCCCCAGACCTTCCTTTCAGCACAGATATCTCATGGCATGAGTGACATTTCAGCGTGGCAGGATGCCCTGCAGCCCCTTTCCACACCCAGGGGACACAGCTCTGAGCAGCCCAGACCTGTGACACCAAGACTCTTGGGAGAAGCCGTGACCAGAGCCTGGCACTGAACCTGCACAGGCAAAGGTCCAGATGAACTTTGGGAAGGAGCTTCTGGTGGCACTAGAGGCCGCTGTCACCCTGGATGAAGGCAGATAATCCAGCTATGGGCTTCAACCAACAGGCTCCCTCCATTCCCCACCACCTGGTCACAGCGAATGGAAACCATAAGGCTGCTAGTCCTGCACAGGGTCTGTGTGGGACATTGCAGGCACAACATCCCCAGGGCTGAAATCCACCCTGTTTGAGTTCAGCTGGACAAACACATTTGCAACGGGAGACAATTTGAACCCAGCGGGGGATCATCGGAACAGCCAGACAGCCCCGTTCATCAGCAGCTCCAAAATTCCCAGCAGAATGGTAGAAGTACAAACGGGCACAAACCCTGCCTTGTGGGAGATGGCACGTTCCCAGGCTCCCAGCATCAGCACACTGCAGTGCTGCAGCAGAGTGCTGGGAGGCTGGACATGGATACATGGAATACACATGGCAGCAGCTGGGCTGAATGTCCAGGACATCTGGCCCAACACCAGGACTGACCTGCCATGGTCTGGCCAGGCACCCACACTGCACCACACACCTCCAACTGATCCCTCCTCTGCTGCCCCTCTGCTGTTTGTTTTCCTCCCCTTGTAATTCACACTATTTTCCAGCTACCGGAATCTTTCCTGAACAATTCAGCTGGAAAACAAGGAACAGGTGAACCTCTATGGGTCAAATGCTACAGTGGGGCAAGGTGAGGCTTGTTGGCCACCAAGGATGCAAACCAGCACTCCAGAGCTCTCCACCAGTCATCCCTCCTCAGCCCTAAGCAGCCTCTTCTACTTTAACCTTTTGGCTTCACACAGATAATTTTAAGGCCACACGTTCGGAGACATCCCCGTGATCTAATATTAGATGATCAGCTTGTTTATGTTTTTGTTGCTAAGAGCAAGCTGGAGCTTTGGAAACATGAAAGCAGCGCAAACACTCCTGCGACAGCTGCCACTGGGAACTGAAATCCATGCAGCACTGCCCTGACAACTGTTTGGCATTCGTCTTTTTATTTTATTTTACTGGAATTGGTCTCCTTCCCAAATAAGCTTTTCCCATTTTGGTGACCTCTCTTGTCTCTCTGGGTCTGTGTTTCCAAGTTCCAGTGTGCAGGCAGCTCCCAGTCACTGTATCCTGCTGTGAGGATGTACATCCATCAGTAAGGTTTCCTCCCACTCGAGCACAATGCATCATTGCTGGGCTTTTTTCCTCTCAGTAGTTTCAAAGCATCATTAAAGGTGGGAGGAATTTTCTCGTGGTTTCTCTTTACATTACCATAAATCACAGGAGATTGTTCTCTAATAAAAATGCAGGAGACAAACAGATCTTCTGTATTATTTATAGAAACAGATTTGGCAATAAATGCCAATGCGGTAATATTAAAGGATGCTTTTTTGGGCATCTACAAGTAACTATCCCAGTCTAGTTCCCTGCCTGCAGGCAGTGCCAAAAGTCTGGGAGGGGGTTTGTGCAGCCCACTTCCCCAAGGAAAACTCTGCTTCCGCAGCTTGATTCAGGGTTTGCCAAAATTCAGAGACTGTTATGAAAGGTCTGAAGTGTGAACTGAAAGCACAATACTCACTCTGTCCTCTTGCACAACCTCCCTGGGCACTGGCATTATCTTATGGCAGCTCATCTCGATTCAATGACCCCAAGCCAAGTGACCTCCAGCAAAGTAACAGCAGCACACAGAGGCACTCCCAGGGTTAACCCCAGTGTTCTCACACCAAAGATACTCTGCAGTAGCTCCTACAAACTGGCACTGCACACAGAGCTGATGAATGTGGCTCCTCCAGAATGCCTGTCATACCTTCCACGCACTCCCTGTGCTAGCTCTGGAATGAAAAAAAAAGCCCAGACAGCATTAAAAGTTTGAGTATTTTCCAGCAGCACAGCCCACCTTGCTTGGATCTGCTGCAGGTGAAGCGGAGCAGCCCACCCTCTGTGGGACACTGCAGCTCAGCCCCACCACCTTCAGCTTTCTAGGCTGATAACTCTCATTATTGCTCTTCCCATCCCTTGGCCTCAGGCCATTTAAAATGTGTCAGAGCGCTATCTCCACTCAGGAAGGGCTGCACTTCAATAAATCACTATTTTAGTCTGGAAGAATATAATCACTATACACTCTGCATGAACTGGTTGCTGATTAGAAACACACAGTTCATCACTGCATTTTATTTATTACCATTTGCTTTTGTCGATGCCATCAGGAGAGACAGATTCTGGAAAAGTTATCCTGCTTGCAGGAAGAAACACAGATCATTTGATATTCTGTACTTAATGCACAGGATAAAGTTCCTTTGAAAAGAGCTCTGGCTCCCCAGGTTTGCATTTCCCCAGTCTTAAAATAACATCATGTGATAAGAAAGAGATACCACCAGCTAGATCCAGAGTCATTCCCAAGGCTGCTACTGCTGGAATGGCCTGGGTTGCACATGGCAGACTCCTACCTCTGGCCTTTACAGTCAGTCAAAGTGGTGCCTGCTGCTGAAGTCCATCTCCTCCTGTCACACACCTACACAACCCAAGGTTTGTTTTCCCCACTAACTGCAGAGGGAATCTGGGGGTCCTGTGCAGCGCAGATGTCTCCATCAGGGCATAAGCAAACCCAGCTGAGCAGAAGCAGAGGGACAGATATTATCTGAATGAGTCTCAGTCCAACACTCTTTTTAGGATGGGATTAATTTTACAGAACCTACTGTGAATGGCTGCTCTGCTGCCTGTCCCTGAATACCCACAGGCTGGAGGGGTTGAGATTAGGAGCTGAGATTAGTACTGAAGACAAAGGCTCAGATGCTGAAGAGACGAGCAGAAAATTACAAGACTAAATTTAACCGACAAGACAGAGATCACTCAGTTCAACACCTTCAGACAGAGCAGGGGCAGCAGCCTGGAAATTCAACAGAGCACCTAAAAACCAGTCCCTACACCCCAACCATCACCACCACGTGAGAGCTGCCCACGGAGCAGACCATCAGAGCCCACTGCTCACTGACCTTCTGCGCTCCCTGGCCTCCTCAGCCGAGAGGTCCTTCCCCGGGGTGGAGGCAGCCCCGGCGTTCGCGGTGCCGTTGGCAGCGCCCAGCACAGCCCGGTTTGTGATTACACCTAGAGGGGTAACACAGCTGCCCTCTGGGCTTTTCTCTACAGCAGAATCAGTTTGTTGCCTGAAAGGGGCTCTGAAATAGAGAAGACATATGGAAAGCAAAGCAAGTGAACTCAAGCGCTGATCAAGCTCAGCCTCCTCAAGGGAGCGCGGACAGATCATCCTCCTCGCTCTGCACTCGTGTGTTCATGGAGAACAGCCACAGGAAAATGAGTTTTACAAAACTTGCAGAAGAATAAGCAGGAGGAACTAATAGTCTTCATATCCCTGTTTGTAGCAAAAATTATTAGAAAAATGTACCTGGGGAATAAGCAGAAGGAAGGAACTCCAAGAACTTGTACACCGAGCGCCCGAGGGCGGCCTGAGCACGGGCTGAGTCAAGGGACAAGAGGGACCACTCCAGGGAGCTACAGTCACACCCCGGTTGTTCCCAGCCTGCCAGCACATACCCACTGCTGGAACTGCCCAACATCACCATTTTGGGACTGCTTATCATTCTGGGATTGCTTATTGGTACTTCCCAGGCAGAAGCACACCTCCAATCCACGCTCCACTCCAGAACTCAGACCTTCCAACCCAAATGCTGACTTGCGGCAGCGCTCTCTCTGCCGGGAGCTGTTACCTGGTGTAGTGGCGGGCTGATGCAGGAGTGTTCACACCGAGAGATGTGGGACAGGAAGAGACAGGTTGCCACGGGGAGCCCGGGGAGGTAGATGAGCCAATGGCAGTGGGTGAGGTAGCTAGAGATGGACTGCGACTGGCTGAAATGTAGGGACTGCCCAGGTCACTACTTCTACCAAATGAAGCACTGTAAAACATCACAAAATCACGTCCTTCAGAGCACAGTAAACATTCAACAGCACATCCCACAGCTGGGCTCACAGCTGGGGAGGGAGCAGGTACCACATCGTAGCAAAACGTGTGCAAGGAGATCAGAGGCCGTCAGAGCTGCCACAGGTCACCCACACGTGCCAGCGCCAGCAGAGCCCTGCTTAGCTAAGCCCAGCTCAGTTTCAGCAAGAGAATAATGGCATGGGGGTGAATCAGGGAGGATCAGGGAAGGGAAAAGCCCTGCTGCAGTGAAAGCAGGGAGCACAGGGAGCACCCCTGTGCACTGGGGAAAGGTGGGAACAAGGAGCAAGGATGAGGATGCTTAAAGCAGGGAAGGAGAGAGTGACATAAGCGGGTCTGGCTGCATCCCACCCTAAGGATGTCCAGGACTTCCAGTTTTAAGAACTTGTTTGCAGTGGCTTAAAGCTTTGGCAAAGATGATCAGTTTGGGCTTCAATTTTCTTTAAGGCATGTTTGGCACAAACTCTGTATTTCCGGAAAACAGCTATCACAACTGCCCAAAAATATTCAAGAATGAGCAAGGGAAATACATATTTTGCCAGTTTAAAACAAACCCTGAAAACCAACCATGGAAAATCTGCAAGTGTTTAAATGCTCATACTTTGGAGAAGAGACAGGAGGAAAGGAGAAGAGCTCTGACATGAGGATGGACCATTTTGCTTTTTCAAAGAAAATCCAGCCTAATTGGGAGATAAAATCCACCCTAATGGGAGAGAAAATCCACTCTAGAGGGAGAAGTTGCATATCTCTGAAAACAGACTTGATGAAACCTGCATGTGCCAGAGCCCTGCACGCAGGCTGCTCACTGCCTGCACACAGAAACCCAGCAGGATCCGGGGACCTGCCACACCTTTCCCAGCAGCTGGAATGCGTGGTTGCTACTGGTCAGACTGGGCTGTCCACAGGATCAAAGGCCAGGAAGGTTGGAAGGCTGCCTTGGACCTCCTGCAGCCTAAGGACTCCCACAGCATGGCACAGGGAGGAAAGCAGTTGCACCAGGAATAAAAGCTGACCTAGAGGAAAGCAGCAGGTTAGGACAGAGCTGCAGTTTTTTGGGAAGGCCAGGGACAATGGAGTGAAACTGGAAGTCAGCTCTGGAGTAAGAGTCAGAGAGAGCAGCCCCAGGCTGAAATAACACTGGGAAGGGGCAGGATCACAGCCAAGGACAGAAGGCTGGAGGAAGGACCCAGACCAGTTCACTCAGGGACCCCATTTACAAACCAGTTTTACATGCCAAGGCCCCCAGCCAGCCCAGCACAAGCAGCTGGTCCCATGGGAGCCAAAGGGGACAATGGGGCATCCTGGAAGGCCTCCATGGGGAGGAACCTCCCATTTGGGCTCCTCAGTTGATGGCTGCCTGCCATACCCAGGTCACACAGGAACAAGCAAGTTATTGTCACGAGGTAGCAACCTCCACCCGGCCCTAAACAAAGCTTCCTCTGGAATGCTGGCCCCTGCCTGGAGCACAGGGGAGCAGGAAGTCCTGTTGGAAGCAAGTGCCTCCCTTCTTGGCTCTCTGCTCCAGAGGGAAAGGCCTGGAGATGGGCTGGGCGGAGGGTGGGAGCAGAGAGAGAAGCCTGGCTGGGGTGGATGTGCAGAGCAAGCAGCCGTGGAGTCACATGAATGAGGGTTCTGAGGAGATGATGGCAGGGGAGAATGTGCCAGGGCAAGGAATGAGAGGATGGGCAGGGGAAAAGGTGGTGGCAACCCTGGGGGCAGCAGGGTTGATGTGGCACCATCTTGGGAGAGCCCAAGGCAGAGGTTGGGGCACGAGGGTGACTGCAAGAGAGAGCAGGAACTTGGTGAGGGAGGGAGGACGCAGGAGGGTTATCAAGTAAGCCCTGTCAAGGATTGTCTTACAATCCAAACCTTCCCCAAGAAGGGAAAGGTAATGGGTGAGGAGTATGGAAGCAGCACCAGGTGCCTGGAAGAGCAGAGATGTGATGGATGAGAGGGGAAGGAGGAGGAGGAATGCAGGAAAAGGGTCTGGCAGTGGTGTTGTGCCAGCTCCAACACACACACAGCCAGGAAAACGTGGTGCTGGGGCATCAGGTACACACTGCTGCTCCCAGGGGAGCCATGGCACTGCCAGCTCCATGGGAATCCACCTCCCAGCCTGGCCCTGTGCATGGGTGGCACTCCACAGCATGAGGAGCACTCCAAGGCATTTCCTCCATTGTTCGCATTTGATCTGAACAGGACCAGAAAACTGCAATAAAAAGGTTAGCCAGGAAATCCTGTTAATTAACAGCTGTGTCCATAGGAATCTGTGAAAGGGAGGATTATGAATTTATTTAGAAATAGAAAAAGGCACTGACACACTGCTCCTCGTTCTCTAATATTATCACCACAACAGAACCATCCGGGAATGAGCAATGAAATGCAAAGCAACATTTCAAAGCAATAAAAAGAAATACTTCTGAGAACAGCTAAGGCGTTAAAAACCTTAACTTAAAAACCTTCAAACCCTTAAAAAGCTTCCACATGTGCTAATAAAAACGGTTTGCACAAAGCACATAACTCCTTTTTTTTTAAACACACTGCCATGGGGTATTGCAGAGATCAAACTAGGCTCTGGGTATGGATGTTGGCCACTGTGGTGGCCATTAAGAACAATGGTTAAGTGTAACCCCTGGCTCCTAAATTCCTGATTGCTGGAAGCAAGAAGAATGTGGGAAGTGGAAGATTGCTCTGAAGCTTTCCTGGCTTCTGCAACTTGTCCTTCAAAACCAGCTGGTGTCAGAAACAGAGTCTGGGCTGCAGGGACTGTTGGCCTGACTTGCTGCGATGGTTTTTATGTGAACAGAACCAGTAAGGAGGCATTTGCATAAAAGTGAAATGAAGGAGAAACTAACTGTGTGGATAAAGGATTTTGTTCTGGTGTGTGAGCCCTTCCTGCGAGGCAGGATGCTACATTAATCCAACCTGCTATGCCAGTTTTCCTCCAAACCCTTTAATATACAGGCAAAGTGACCTGGATGTTCGGAGGCATTACATGGAGACCAGGCTGGCAGAGCAGGGTACTGTGGATTTTTGGGCTAGTGGTGCAACCACAGAGAAAGCAGAAGTGCCAGTACCATTACAGAAAGAGCTTCAATATCTGCATCAGCTAAAGCTGAAGAACATTTGCAGCATTGCTGCAAGTTATTTTGTTCCCTTTTATACAAAAAAAGCCATTTTCCACATCTTAAGATGATCTGCTATGTTATTCACGCCGTGTTTGGGGGTTATAGGACATAACCAGGGTTAGATGGGATATTGGGAAGAAATTCTTCCCTGTGAGGGTGGGGAGGCCCTGGCACAGGTTGGCCAGAGAAACTGTGGCTGCCCCATCCCTGGAATTGTCCAAGGCCAGGTTGGATGGGGCTTGGAGCAACCTGGGATAGTGGAAGGTGTCCCTGCCCATGGAACGAGATCCCTTCCAACCCAAACCAGTCTGTGATCTTTATGGAGATCAGTCAAATGCTGAGGCAGAGGGGAACTGCAGATGTATGGAGTCATCCTCTCAGTGACATCCAAGCATGTCATGTTCCTTCGAATTCTTTCTCTCTCAGAATGAGCTTTTATCTTCTGGAGTTGTGTTCAGAGTTTTGTTAATACTTGAAAATGATGAAAAGCTTATGTTTAACAGGCAACTAGGTTCCCTTCCTCATCTTAGGGGCTGATGCACAAGGCTGGAGAAGTCAGAGGTTCAATAAGATTATATTTAATTTCTCTGTGCTTTCCTACAGAAAATCATATGGGATAAAGGTCAAATTGATCATGATGCTATTGTATGCAAATACAATGCAAAACCATTGATCTCTCTTTCAAAAGCACATTTATTCCTACTTGGCAAAGCTCTTCTCTGTAACTGCTTGTAAACCAACACCCCCCTACGAAAGGCCAGAATTCAGCCTTTGTGACAGGAACTTGGTATTAGTGACAGCCCACGGCAGCCTAAACCTCCCCCACTGTCCAGTTTAACCAAGGAAACACAGTACAGCTTGTGAGGGTAACACTGAATGTGGTGCTGGATTAGGTGGGATAAACAGGCAATGTTTGTGAGACTGCAGTGGGCAGCCTGTGGGTGACTGGGCTGGCCCTCAGAGCAGGGAGCAGCAAGACCTGCCAGCTGCAAGGGGAAAAGGCTTTCCAAGGGAATCAGCTGTGGTCTGTCAGACCAGCTTTGGAGAGAGACAAGCTACGGAGGCTGGGCTGCCACCATGTCCCAGGATAGCTGTGAAATCAGTGCAATGGATCAGCAGAGCAGATGGTTTCTGCTGGAAGGGGCTGCTTCACCTTTTGTGGCAACGGGCCTATGTGTGCTCACACACACCCTTGAGCACCACTCACCTCTGCCACCTCAAGTACTGAAACTCAGAATGGCCTCTTCCCAAGTATCTCAAGCAATTGTTCCATCTTCAGGACAGATATTTAGTGCAGGGTCTAGAATTTGGTGAAACTCAATCTAAAACCTTGAACTGTTGCTGCTGCTTTCCTTCAGCAGAGACCCAACAGCTTTGCAGCGTGACATGCTTATCACAGGCTGGTTTGATGGTCTCCAGTATTAGCTGAAATAAAGGTGAGGAGCTGGCACTGTACCTGTGTGAAGGGCTGATCCTCCTGCTCACAACTGAGGTGAAAACCCAGCAATGCAATATTTGCCTCACCAGAGCAGGGCATTCCTTCAGCTCACTCGGAGAGAGTCGTCAGCTGGCACCTCAAGGACACTGAGGCTCTGCCTCCCAGGGGTACAGGACACTGCAGTTACAGGAGTTCTGCCTGGAATTGCCTTCCTGCCTCTGCCTGGCTCCTTCACCAACATTCAGCCTCTACAACTTCTCACACACTGTGCACAAACTGCTTCTTTGCTGCCACAAGACAATGGTTGGAAGCATCAGTCTTACTCCTAACAAGTGCTGTGTGTCACACACAGGATCACTGCCACTTTCTTATAATGATGCCATAAACGTGGACTAATATAAACCAAAATAAGAGGATATAAGCTACAACTTACCTGCCAATAGCTGTTTGAACAATGCTTTCAGATTCTGATTACTTTAATCTTTTTTTGTGATCAATTTTGATTTTATACTCTAACCATAACACCAGCATTAAATGGAGAAAACACTTTGCATTTGAATAATGTGAACAAGAGTATTTAAATTTAGTTCAGCAATTTAGAAATTAGCAAAAATTACAGCCTTTAAAAATACCATTTAGCATGACAAATGCCAGAAAACCTTAATTTTGATTTTCTGCTCTCAGCAGAAGAGGGTTTCAAGGCCAGTTACAAGATGCAGTAGGCAGCAAGCAGGAGGCTGAGGTTTGAGAGGCACATTAAGAGTGGAACTGACTGCCTGGGAACCCACATGAGACAGAACTGGATGTACCTTTTCAAGTAGGTGGATACATAGGTGGTGGGTGCACCAGAATGGGGAGCTTCATTTCCCTTTGACTCGTCCCTCCACGGCTGCCGGGTGTAGGAGCCGCTCCTCACCAGGTTCACAGCTGATTCCCTAATGCAGGACAGAGCACAGGGCTTGGTTACAAAAACCTCTGGAGTCTACTTTTGGCTCCTTTACAGTTCCACAACACAAATCCTTCCCTTACACCCACATGCACCGATGCTCACAGGTGACACAGCTCAGAGAAACATCTGTCCTGGCCTTACTGATCCTGCTATTGCCAGATCCCTTCAGAACCACAGATGATGTAATGCTTTGCATAAAGAGGAACAAAATCCTTTTTAGTCAGAAAACTTGCAAATGAAATTTAGATCGTCCATAAAAGTAATTTAACATATTAAATAGTGTCATTTGATATTTCCTCTGCCATCTTGTATCAAATAACACGGTATAAATGGGCAGATATTGGAACTGCTGAGAAGTTTTTATTCTCCAAAGTATCCAGGCAAGGACAAAAGCAATCCAGCCCAGCAAATCCTTTCATAGAATTGCTAAAGTTGGAAAAGCCCTCTAGGATCATCAAGTCCAACCATTAACACACCACTGCCAGGTCCACCACTAAACCATGCAGCAGAAAACAACATACTAAACATTTGCAATATCTCAAACTACTTGACAAGTTATCAGTAAATTCCTAGCAGTCCTATTTATCGTGGTTATGTGAAATCAGGGCTCTTTCCCTCTGGTGGTGTATCCTGTTTTCCTCTGGTCCTGGACAGGACCTGGAGCTTGCAGTGCAGCACAAATCCACTCCCCCATCAGCCTGCAATTATTTTCTATTTCCATTTCTATTTCTATTTTGCCTGTGCTGACACCCTCTCAGACACCTGTAGGTTCTGGGAAGTCAAACTCAGTTGCTTTTAAAGGAAAGGATATTTGGAAAATCTACTCCCCAGCAGGCCTGGCACCATCTGTTCCCACAGGCCAGTTCTCCTTGGGCCCCACTCACCCAGCAAAGGACACCTGTCAGCACTCACTGGATGTGCCACTCGATAGCAGCCTCTGCCAAACTCTGAGATTCTCTGAATCTGAGATTCTCTGAATCTCAGAGAGTGGCTGAGAGTGAGCAAGAACACAGCGGGGAGGTTCCAGCAAAAGATCAGCAAAGAGTCTCAAGCTGTGCTGAAATTCTCTCAGGGTGTTGTCTGCCACAGCTCCTGCCCAGCAATTACAGTTCACAGCCACTTCTTGCATGTGCCTTTCTTCCTCCATTGGGGAAGTGCTGGAAATGAGGTTAAGCTCAAATTTTACTCCTTCTAGCACAAACTGAATCATAGAATGGCTTGAGTTGGAAGGGACCTTAAAGATCATCTTGTTCCATCCCCCTGCCATGGGCAGGGACACCTTCCACTGTCCCAGGTTGCTCCAAGCCCTGTCCAGCCTGGCCTTGGACACTTCCAGGGATGGGGCAGCCACAGCTTCTCTGGGCAACCTGTGCCAGGGTCTCCCCACCCACACAGGGAAGAATTTTTTCCTAATATCAAATCTAAACCTACACTCTGTCAGTTTGAAGCCATTCCCCTTTCTCCTGTCACTCCAGGCCCTGGTAAATAGTCTCTCTCCATCTTCCTTGTAGGTTCCCTTCAGATACTGCTGAAGAAGCTGTTTGTAGAGATTAGCTCCTCAAATACATCTGGAGATACTGGATATGTAAATATCTGATTTATACTGTGGTTCTGTCCAGGGGCAACTACACACATTGACTGTAAAAACAACCCTGCAATGAAACAGTTCCTACATGGCAGAGTTCACAGGCTCAAGTGAATCACAAGTGACAGATGTGTGAACAAAGGGACTGCAGGTGACTGCTGAGCAAGTGACAAGTGCAAGTGCAGGTGCCAGCTACAAAATGAGGCACTTGCATATAAAAGGAACAAGGCTGCATAGACCTAGTTCCCTGGATGAGCACCGGGGTGGAGGAACCAGCCTGCTGCCCCGCTCACCTAAATGAAAAGCACCACAGCAGAACTTTATAGACCAGAGCTGGCTCTTGATGTTGTGAATTCCTGTGTCCTTGGGACTGCTGAGAAAATACATGGAGCATGACTACAGAAAAATGGAACTACTGACAGGATGGAAGCTGAGCATTAACTTCAGCCAGTCTCACCTGTTTTCTTTTTCTTCTACATCGCTTGTACTGCTCAGTCTTCTGGGGGCTATGGTGGCAAGATAGCTCTTGTTGTCTTTATCCTGGTGAAGCAAAACAGGGACTTCAGCTGCACATCTCTTACCCTTTCAGCATGTTCAGTAGCAATTAAATGCATGTTCAAATTTTTTCAACTAAGAAAGCATTCTCCTATCTAAGGACAGCTGGTTTAAGGCATTTTCTTGGGCAACAGATACCACAGCATAGAAGTATCAGTTCTGAAAGAGATTTCCTGAGGAACGTGCTAGTGAATAAAAGCATTTTCTAACTTACAGAATTAGTTATAAATCACAGAATCAGAGAATGGCTTGGGTTGGAAGGGACCTTTGGAGGTCATCTAGTCCAACGCCCTGCCATGGGCAGGGACACCTTCCACTAGACCAGGTTGCTCCAAGCCCCATCCAACCTGGTCTGAACACTTCCAGGGATGGGGCATCTACCCATAGGGTAGTTACAGTTAGTGAATACGTGGGGTGGGAGTCACAAATACAGCTGGTGAAATCCCTATAGACAACAGGGAAGAAGAATTTCCACTGCAGGTATGTGCTACTGTCTGGATTTGGTATTTTCTGGTAAAGAATGGGCCACATCAGACTGGTAGACCCTGTTCAGGGCCAACCCAGTCCAAACTGAGCACGAATTAGGTCAAAGGGGCAACAAATTCCAGTTCTGGAGGAACAACTGATAGGAGAGGAATAATTTTCAAAGGAAAAGAAAGAAAGAATGAAGTTATGGATACAAAACTCAGCAATAACTCAAAGTGAAAGTGTCTTAAACATGCGAGGTGAATGGGCTGCACTAACGCATCCGTGCTGAAAGCCAAACCTTTTCCTTGTTGTCTAATAGTGCAGATATCCGAGGACTGGACGAGGAACGATAGATGGAAGCAGCCTTGTCTCTCTGTGCCTCACGAGTGGCAGCGACTTCACTCAAGGTGTTGTGGCTGCCCGTCTTCCTCAGCCCCAGCCGCCACGACGACGGTGACTCATCCTTCTGCTCCTCCGCCTTGCTGAGCCAACTGAACTGCAGAGGAGAAACACGCACATTGGGAAGAAGTGAGAGCACTGCAAGGCACACTCTAAGTTCTGAAAGTGTCTCAACAAGCCCCAGTTTTAGCTGGGCTACACTTGTAAGATGGAGTGACTTTGATTTCCTGCTTTGCGTTAGTTACAGGACAGAGCTCAAGGTGAACTCACAGGGATGGAAAGTGATGTAGTGCCTCATCCCCAAGGACACACAGTGAAAGGAATCTTGTGTCATTGGGCAGCTCTTTGCCTACACAATGCCCTCCTCCAGCTTTGAGGAAAGAATATAAGGAACAATGAAGCTTTTATTAGCACCCTTTTAGGAAGGGGGAATTATTCAGTGAAGGCAGAAACCAAAAACAAGTACTCAAGTCTTTTGGGACTGGCTGCAAATAAACCCCTCACACCAATCAAACTGGAGGGAGTCCGGGAGAATCCACTAAGATCATCGGGGAGCTGGAGCCAGCGACACACTAAGGGAAAGACTGAGGAAACCTGGATTGTTTAGCATGGAACAGAAAGGATTTAGTTGCTCTGCTACTTCAGGATGGGTTTACCGAGGACATGGAACCAGACTTGTCTACAGTCTACAGTGAAAAGAGAACAGACAAGCTTCAACATGGGAAATCCCTGCTGACATGGAGACATATCACCTGGTAGGAGTGATGCTGCACTGCAACAGGGGGTAAGGAAGCAGAGCATCTCCATCCCCAGAGACCTTTTAATACTCAGCTGAGCTCAGGTAGATCAAAGCTTCATGTCAGGGCTTGAAGTCAGCCCTGCTTCGAGCAGGAGCTTGGGCTGCAGCCTCGCAGAGGCCTCTCCTAGTGCAGCCCTTTCTGTGGGCAGGTAACTGCAGACTGTACAGAGCACAGAACAGGCCCTCGTGCTTTTTGTTACATGAGGCACTTCTGACCAGCATATATCATTCCTTAAAGACACAACTGCTTAAATGCACAACTTCAGCTGCAGTTATCAAGTCTTACAAAAAGCTGCCTACTACCATCAAGAATGAGGCCTGAGCATCACAAGAGATACTTGTACAGGGGCTCAACACCAAGCTGTAAAGGAAATAAAGCAAATAAATTATTAGGAATTATTGGAAAAGTACAGAATACACAATACAGCATCATTACAGCTCTATGTTACTGCAGGGTACAATCACATCTTTGGTCTCATGCACAGCTCAGCATTAGAGGAGAAGGGAAGAGATTCAGAGAAAGGCAATAAGAATGAGCAGAGCAAAAGAGGTTTTGTATGAAGAGATACTCAATATATTAGGAATGTCCAGGCTGAGATATGTACCAAGGTACATGAAACCCTAAGTGGCACACAGAAGAGTGAATAAGGATCCCTTGGTCCTTCCCATAAAGGAACAATGGGTAGCAAACAAATCTGGCATGTGGCAGGTTAATGGAACAGGGGCAGGGAGCTCTGTAGGGTTTGTAATTAAGCTGAAGGACCCTTTGCCCCTGGACATTAGAGGATTCTAATCAAAAAGTGACTGCACAAATTCACAGAGGAAAAATCCAACAGGGGTTACTGAAGACAAAAAGTACCCCAGGTTCAGCAACTCCCTGAAATGCCAATTGCTGGAAGGTGGGACAGAAGTCCTGCAAGATTCTATCTTCTCTATTATCTTCTGATGGTCTCTGTGAGGGGCAGGACACTGGGCAGACAAGGCTTTCAGTCAGAGTTGATCTAAGCATTGTTACACCATATTCTACATGATGTAAACCATCCAGAATAAATGGAGTTACTGTGGAGCTCTGCCCTCAGCCTCAAGACTGCAAAGCTCAAATCATGCCTGCAGTATTTGAGCAATGTTTTCAGCTTATGTCATTTTAATGCAAATGCAAAGAGTTAATCTGTACTGCACCATTTCTAGCACTTCCAGCCTACTGACCTACAGAGCTCTAACACTTTAATGTAGTTTTGATGCTTTCCTCAGAGAAAGCTCAAATCCACAACAAAAGCTGCTGCCTGTAAATTCTGAACAACACAGCATGTCCTAATAACTCCCCAAATGGAGGGCAACAGAAGCACTTGTATTTTCTCATCCAAAGCCCAGTCTGTCAGGGAGAGTTACAGAAAAATCAAACAGGTAAGAGAAGGTAAAGTAACTGATCTTAAGTGACTGAAGTCAAATCAATAACTGCTCTCCACACAAACCACCTTCCATACCCTAACAGCCTTATTCTGGGTTAAACATCTCAAAGGAGTGAGACCAAACCTCTGCAGCTGGGAAAAGGTTAAGTGCTCCCACTTCCCAGTATCCTTCTACCTCTAACAGTTCCACTGCTAAGCCAGCCTGAGTTGAACAATGCCCAGAGGAGCTCTGTTTCATTTGATCTGGATGAGAAATTTCACTGAGTAGCATGTGAAAAATACAAAACTGTGACTAAGCAAGAAGTATTTCCCTCTGACATGCACCCAGTGCTTCAGCCTGGGGCCAGGTGCCTGCGTGGCTATTCTCCACAGTCTGGTGCTAAAAGAAACCAGCAGCAGAGGATACCAGTGCTGGGCAGAACAGGGTCTCCTGGTGCCATCTAGCTGAGTGATGTGAGAGCTGGAGGAGTCAGGTAAGATTGCAGTAACTGCTTCACCTTTCAGAGTTCTCATAGTCCAGCTGGCCTGTCAGATGCAAACCTCTGCTTGCTGGGCTGTAACATCACTGAGTCAACAGGGTTTGGCATGTCTGGGGCACTTGTGATGACACTGCCAAATTCACCACTGATACACCAGCAGGAATCAGTTCTATGAAAGATCTCCTGGGAAGAGATTGGCATCAGCCACCTGGGAACTGATGGCACACAGAGCACGTGCTGTAGGTTGGGTTTCTTGTGAACAGCACAATTTGCTTTGGAGGGTCAGAGATTCAAGAGGAACCTCATGGTACCAACACCCTCCTCGGGGCCAGTCCTACACTGGTATTAACACAGAGATTTAACAGGCTTGCCTAATATCATCCTTTCCTAAATTCAAGTCTTAAACCGCTCTGAAAATTGGTTTCAGAAGCATCCATCTCCCAGTAACACCTCCTGCTTCTGAGCACTGCTGAGTCCCCATTGATTCCAAATTCACTTACTCTTCTGGCAGACGCAGTGAAGGAGTTGGGCTCGGGTGGTGGCATTTGCTCAGTGATGCTGGGCCTGGATTCACGGCTGGAGTGGTTGGCAAAGGGCTCTTCCTTCCTCTCTAAAATTTTAAACAAGAAGAGAAACCAAATGTTTCAGTATTGCACTTCCAAGGCCCATCTTTAGAGTGAGCTCTACACTCCAGTTCAGTGCAGTGTGACCTCAGACCCCTCAGGTCACAAGGCTAAGCCAGGCTTTCTGCAAAGAGCTTTCCACTTCCTAAAGAATAGGATGGATACATTTGGCAGGCAAAGCTTTAGAACTTGATCCCCACAGACAAACAAAATCTTAGCAGAAAGGAGGACAAATAGACTCTTTGTTTTTCACAATTTTGTTCCCTATCTGGGAATGTTCTTCCCTTGCAAAACCTGGGATGAAAAGCAGCACGTGCTGTTCCTGCTGGAGCACACGTGTGTGTTCCAGCCCACGGCCCCAAGTGCCTGGTGTGGGTTTCACTGCACGGGTCTCTGCAGTTGCTTGTGCTGCTGGGCAGAATTTCTGGTCTTCTGCAGCAAAATCCATCTTTCTACAGGAAGCCAGGACTGCTGCCGAACAAAACCCCTTACCAGGGCTCCAAGCAAGCTAAACAAGCCCTGTCCAGGCTCAAACTGGTTCCCTGCTGGTCAGACAAGTGCAGCTGTCCAGCGTTACATTTATTTTTGTATCTATGCACCGAGCTGGACAGAAGAACATCCACCAGACATTACTGGGGGAGAGGAAGCAGAAAGTGTGTCTCAGGCAATAGGTTCAGTTGACAGGAGTGCAAAGGGCTGGAAGACAGACTATTTACCAAAAACCCAGGCACATGCAACGTGCCTGAGAAATGATGTACCTACACCAAACAAAATGTTTTCCTGAGAGCTGTGAGTGCTCACACAAACACGGTTTTGAAAACATAAAGTAATTTTAAGCATAAGCACCCAAACAGCCTTAGCAAATGAGATATCTGCAGGGAATAAAGATCTGCTGTTCCACACTTGGAGCAGTTTGGGGTGGAGCATCTGGGAGGACAGCACCTTGGAGCATGAAGATCAATCTTTCTGAAACAAATGTTCTCAGTCCTACAAAAAAAAAGGATTCAAAGGACATGGAAAACAGAAAAGAGCAAGCCAAGAGAAACATTTAAAAATAACAGGCAGCGAGCAGGTCTGACAGAGCCTGAATTAAAGTGGCAAAGACAGAATCATGGAATCTGAGCAGGAAAGGATCCACAAGGATCATCAAGTCCAACTCCTGGTCCTGCACAGAACATCCCAACAATCCCACCCTGTCCCTGAGAGCGTTGCCCAAACACTCCTTGAGCTCTGGCAGCCTTGGGGCCATGACCACTGCCCTGGGGAGCCTGTTCAGTGCCTGACCACCCTCTGGAGGAAGAACCTCTTCCTAATATCCAACCTAACCCTCTCCTGACACAACTCCAGCCACTCCCTTAGGTGTATGTGAGGCTGAAATCTCAGCCACTTTCCCTCTCTGTGTTGTCTCAGAACTTCCATCCAAGTCACCTCAGAAGAGGATTCCAGTTCCGGAGCCAAACTCTCAGGTGCACTGTCACACAGCCCTTTGGGAAGGGGCCATGGATCACCCGTTCCTCCTCACAGGCCCAGCTTGGCACACTTGGCATCCATGTCCATGGAAATGCACATGGACAAGGAATAACATTCTGCCACGTGCTGATTTCTTGAGCCTGAGGCCTGTAAACCAGAGGGCACTGCAGGAAGGGAAGGTTGCACCAGGCTGTGCAGGCTGGGTGGGGGGGGACTGGGAGCCTGCTCTGGAAGTACATAGTGCAGAGGTCACTTTTAAGGTCAAGCCTAATTAGAAGGGCACAGGCTTAAGTGGTAATGACAGGATGGGAAGAGCTCTAACTATGAGCAATGTGACTGAAGGGAGTTGATTGCAGAAGCAAGACAGGCTGAAGGACCCTGTGCTGGCAGCAGGAGATGGCACAGTCATGGGCAGCACTGGCTTTGGGGCAGGGTCCCACACTTCATTTTACTGACATTTCAGCAATAAACATGACAAATTCCAATCAAGGGAAACTGTTGAGGGTTAGTTCAACTTCTCCTCAAAAATTTGGTGAGAGTAAAAATTAAGTTTTCTGATTCCTTTCTCTTAAGGGTTTTTGATTTAGAGTTTTTGTTTGGTTGGTTTTTAAACAAAACAACACTGAAAGCTTCCCTGGCCTGCTTTAATTCCCAATAATTACATATTGTAATAGTTCCCAGCACAGATAATGACCATAGAATTTTATACTGCTCTTTCTCTTGTTTATATACAACCCAATTCCAAATTAATTGTCCTCAAGATGAATAAAGTGGCATTAATGCCCTTTGTTTGAAGAACACAAACTTCTTACAGATTGTCAGAAATGCTACTCGGAAGCCTTCCAGCAATTTCACTGCTTCCCTCATCCGATTTCTTCCTCCCACAGTCTCTGTGAATTCAACAAATTGATCGCAACCTGAGACTCTTCAAAACACACCTCAAACTAAACTCCTGTTACACTGCTGGCCTCGACATGTCCTGCTTTATGCTGACTTATCAAGGAGGTGGAATTTTTGGGTTCAAAAAGATCACTCAGAATATTTTTATTTTTCTTCATCTGGACTTTGAACACTTTAGAACAACTGTCATCACCAATGTGTTCAGCACTGCTCAGAATGACACAGTTATGGGGATATTAAAGGAAATGAAGAGGAATAAGGAAATAATTTCCATGTTTTCACCCATGTCTTCTGTACCATCCAAGCATTTAAAATGTTGAGCAGATAATCCTGGAACCACAGAATATCAGAATGGTTTGGGTTGAAAGGGACCTTAAAGTTCATCTTGTTCCACCCCCTGCCATGGGCAGAGACACCTTCCACTAGCCCAGGTTGCTCCAAGCTCCATCCAACCTGGCCTTGGACACTTCCAGGGATCCAGAGGCAGCCACAGCTTCTCTGGGTAACCTGTGCCAGGGCCTCAGCACCCTCACAGGGAAGAATTTCTTCCCAATATCCCATCCAACCCTGCCCTCTGGCAGTGGGGAGACACTCCTCTTGTCTTGTCACTCCAGGCCCTTGTAAATAGTCTCTCTCTCCATCTTTCCTCTAAGTTCCCTTCAGGTCCTGGAAAGCAGCAATTAGGTCTCCCCAGAGCTTCTCTTCTCCATACTGAACAATCCCAGTTCTCTCAGCCTTTCCTCACAGGAGAGGTGCTCCATCCCTCTAATCGGCTTGGTGGCCTCCTCTGGACTTGCTCCAGCAGCTCCATGTCCTTCCTCTGCAGGGTCCCCCGAGCTGGAGGCAGCTCTGCAGGTGGGGTCTCACCTGAGCGGGGCAGAAGGGCAGAATTTCCCCCTCCCCTGCTGCCCCCGCTGTGGGATCAGCCCAGGGCACAGTTGCCTGCCCTTGAAACCAGCAACAGATTGACATTTATAATTTTCATTATCAAAAGCTACAACTAACAACCGTGTCTCCATCCAGCTGGGCAAGTCTGTGTTCATTCTATCAGAGATTTGAGAAGTTTACAAGGTGGGGTTTCAATTCTGGTGGAACTGTCTCAAAGGAGCCATTAATCTCTCCAGGAAAGTAGAGCACAGGTAACAAAGCCTGAAGCCTGAAGCTTAATCATTACCTGAGTGTTTTTTGTCTTCCATTTGTATTGGCTTGAGTGGTTTGACATAGATTCCTATAATGTGCTTTGTTCAGTGAATTAATGCAATAAAAAGACCTGTTCTGGCTTTACACAAAATTTAATGGTGACTGCTGTGGATCTTTCCTTGCTGAAGGATCTTAGGCTGTTCCTGACTCAGTTAAACCCCACGCAGCTCCAGGTCTTACAGGGGTCTGTACATTTGAGGTGTTTTGGTCGAACTCCCATCATGTTTAAAAGGATTACAAGGTTTGGCACACAACTACAAAGCTATAATTTATACAGATATAATTTATATATGTAGAAATAAATATATAAATTAAAAAATAATATATATATATAATCAGGGAAAACCCCTGATTTATGGAGCAAATAATATATGACTTCTACTGTGTGTCTGTTTCTACCACTGACTTCTCCACTAGATCTGCTTGATTTAAAAGCCAAAAGATTACTTCCCTGTGCTACTGTCATGCCCACATGTTCCTGTCATGGTGTAACACCAGCTCTGGGAGAAGCAGCCAGGATTCTCCACCCCTCTCACCCTGCCATAGCAGCATTAATGACACAATCAGAACACAGGTGAAAATTTCACTGGCACAGAAGCAGGACAAAACTTTAAACTGCACTCCTCTGCAAGGACTTATGTATCAGGATATTGGGATATAGGCCAAGTAAGCTGATGTTAAAGTAATTTAACCATTAAACACATCACAGACCAAGATCCATCTGTGTTTGCAGAATATTAAGTAGAAGTAAGTCTCAGCTTACTGTAAAATTAAGTATCTTTATTTAAACTTTCTGTGCTGCACATAAACATTGTTTAAAGTAATTAAGGAAGTCACAGAAATTATGGAAAAGGAATGGGAGTAAGATGCCAGCAATATGTTATAATATAAAGGCTAATGTGACTCTGCACTTAATCTTTATTTTCCACTATGTTTTGCAACTATTATACATCATAGTCAGGAAAAAAAAGTTCCTCATCTCTATAATTACCCAAAACAGCTTCAGCCCTTTGTTTCATGTCTGTAATCCAAACACAACAGGTTATTGCTTTCCTACACTTTCATTTGCTTTCCTACCATCCTGCAGTACCTGAAGGGTTTATCTTGAACTGGGCCAAAAAGAAAAAACCCTCCTGTTTAAGAACAAACTATGAACAATGTGTTATCTCAAGCAGAAATTGAATGGGATGTGCAGGACTTTTGTTTTAAAAAAATTATGCTGACCTGGGAGTCAGCATTTGGATCAGCTATTTTAGCACACGAGCTACTGATTTCTCCACATTCTGTACATATACACTGGAATGCTAATTATTAAATCCAAGAGATGATTAAATCTAAGTCTTACCTGACTCCTTTTCAGCATCCGATTCTGAAACTTCATCTTCAGCTTCTTCCTCCTCTTCAGAACTAGAACTACTTGAGTCCTTGTTCTCTTCCTCCATTTCCATGGACTTCAGCGTGTCTTCCTCATAAAGAATCTTCTCTTTGCTGCAAAATATAGAAATTTTAAGGCTTACACCAGGCGAGTGAGTTAGAATTCTGAGTTCTACTTCTCAGGAACACACAGACATGATTTACTACATATAGAACAAGCATAGGACAAAAATCCATCTACAGATTCAACACCCCAGCATTTCCAGCACGGCCCATTTGCCATGCATTCCACTGCCAGTCTCACATTTTGTAAATCTGCAAGCATTTTTCCATCAAAAAAAATGTGGTCTCTCTTTTCCTAGAGCCACCCAACCCAGCAGCTGTAGGGATCCGTGCAACAAAAGGTGCAGCTCTCAGCTCAAAGCTCTAACTGATCCTCAGCCAGAGCAGGAGCACCAGCCCAAACCCTTGTTCCACCACTCAGTGGGTGTGTTAGGAAACAACTAAAATTGTATTTGAGAGAGCTCAAATTTAAAAAAAAAAACATGAAATGAACAACAGTGAACTGTTTTTGACCCAGCTGAGGCCAGCTGGCTGTGACAGATGAAGCTGCTCTCCCATTACTCCCTGGGCAGCTCCTTTTCAAATAAGAGGGGGAGACTTACTTGGTGAAGAGTCTGCTTTGAGGCTTCCCGTTCATGTCAGCTTCAATCAGCTTATTCCTCGTCTCCTTCTCACTTCGCAACTGTCAAAAAGCCCAGGAAGATTGGAGGAGGAATGAGAAGAGACATGTTAACCAGCCACCTCAGCACAATCCAATAATCACCACAGCACAGGGTCAGCCCAGCCTCATTAGACCAAAAATACTGTGGATTTGTTTAACAAGCCAATTCCACAGCAGCACATCTGCAAGGACACTGTGAGCTTTGGACTCCAGTTCTGTCAGAGCACAGCTGCACACCCAGTAGGTCCTCACACTGCAACATGAACCCTTCAAAGACACCTGCAAGAGTCCCTGCCCAGACCCAGAGACAAATCCTGACTGCTGCCCAGAAAGCTGTGGGCTCCCTATCCCTGGAAGTGTTCCAGGCCAGGCTGGATGGCACTTGGAACAACCTGGTCTAGTGGAAGGTGTCCCTGCCCATGGCACGGGGTGGAACTACAAGAACTTCAAAGTCCCTTCCAACCCAAACCATTATGTGACTGTGCTGGAGGTCTGTCCACACGTGTGTGTGCCCATGAAATCAGGTTGGATTCAGTTAAGAATTTGCTGCCTTTGTAGCTATTATTGACTTATTCTCAGAGGAAAACATTCAAGTCAGGATGGGTCACTTCTTAAATCTCTCAAATGCATGAAGTCATTGCACAAGAACACCTGGGATCACCACAGCAATGGAAACATTTTGTCCAGAGAGTAGCAATATTAATTTTGCCACCATTAATGGACAAAATAGTTTCCAAAAATCATTTTAGTACCTTCCAGAAGCCCAGATGTAGCTGAGACAGAAGAAGAGATGGCAGAGGCTAAATTTAAGGCTGGCTCTGTTTTGTCATGGCTCACAAAGTTATTCTTTTTCTTCTGACAGGAGCTGACACCAGACACAGGAAGCAAAAGGTCTGCAAATTCTGAATCACAGAATCTCAGAATTCTTTGGGTTGGAGGGACCTTAAAAATCACCCAGTTCTACCCCCTGCCATGGGGAGGGACACCTTCCACTAGCCCAGGTTGATCCAAGCCCTGTCCAACCTGGCCTTGGACACTTCCAGGGATGGAACAGCCACAGCTTCTCTGGGCAACCTGTGAAGTAGGAAAAGGTACACGGATTCCAGCAAAGAGCCAAAATTTGGAGTACAGCACATTGTTAAACAGACCAAATTGCTGGAGCACAGCAAAGGGAAGTGCAGGAAACAGCCCACAGCATTCATAGGGACGGGGAGAAAAATCCAAACCCAAACCAAAATATTGCTTCCAGCAAACAAAAATCCCCTTTGCTCTCCAATGACAGCAGCACATCTTTAAGCAAGGAGGGCCCAGTGTTCTGCCTCAAGCTTTAGAGTAAAAAAATATCTGATTTGAGAGCCATTTTCAAAGTGAAATAATGACTTAGAGCAATGTCATGGAATTGCCTGTTTCATCCTTAACAAATATGAATTTTCTATTTTTAAGTGATAAAAATGGCACATGATAAACGCACATGATAAAATGGCATTTCCATTAAAAAATCATACCCACTAAAAAAAAGAAGTGTGATACAATCTGGATTCTTCTGCCCAGTTCTACACTGAATGAATAAATGGAAAAGGCCCTTATAGAGTGCTGCTGTATAGAGAACAGAGGGCTTGTAGCCCCTGCAAAACAGCCCTAAAAATGGGTGAGCACCCAATCAAAAAATTCTTCTTGTTGTCTTTCTTTTTCTTTGCTTTTAAGGAGAGCAGTTATCTGCAGAATCCTGGGGTAGTGAGAGAGGAGGGAATCTAAAATACAACCCTGATAGTATTTATCAACACCTCATTTAGGGAGAAGCTGATTAATTTTTAAGAAGTTCCTGTGAATGTTAAGGCTGCTATTTGAAGATGGCAGCAGCTGTGTTGTGATCAGAGCTGGAGTTCTAACCACCCACATTGTCAGTTCCTCAAAATACTTTCCTGGGGTTTATCAGCACTGTTCTCATTCTGTCTGTTTCTGAATCCAACCTTTTAAATAATAAAAATTTTTAATTTCTTTTAAAGAAGCTTGGCTTGTTTTGTGGAAGCATCCAAATGACAGAATTGAGTAGATCAAATAAAATAGGAAAAAATCCAATCCAAAACCAACTTTCTGGCTTGACAGCTGGCCTTACGTTGGTCAAGATATATTTTTGTTTTCCTTTTTTTATGGCAACTTGTGGCTTATAACCCCCTCCAGCATCTCCACTGCACTATGAAATGGCAGTTTTGAATAACACGGCTTTGAAATCTCCCATTTTTTCAGAATTCCCTGAAGTTTATAATTTCTTCTCCCTCAGTCCAAAGCCTCCCTATTTTAAGAGAGGCAGACATGGTAACAGAACTTTCTCAATGCTGATAGTGTATTTCCTTGGATGCAAACACAAAGTGGATTTGGGAAATCACTCATTAGGAACAGAGCAGTTTGATGCTAGAGAGGGTTTGATGCCAGCAAACTGCAGGATAATGACAATCCCAAAGGTGAACAGTACATTCCTTATCAGTTCACATAACTCTGCATGCCAGCACACTACTGACCTTCCTGCTGCAGTCTGGATTTCCAGCTATTAAAAATATTGCTGTGATTAAAGATTGCAAACGACTAACAAAAAAAAAAAATAGCAGGGCCTCAGCTTCCTGCATCTGTTGGCACCATATGTTTTGGAGAACACCTGTGTGTGGAAAGGTAATTGGAGAGGTGGAAAATGATCTCCAGAAACTCACCACAGTCTGTTTCTTCTGCAGCATTTCTAAATGCTCGACGAGTCCCTCATCAGCCACGTCGAAGGGCGTCTGGCCCTGGTGCAGTGAGAGAACACAAGAGGGTATCTGATATGGCATGGTGGTAATAGTCAAAAAACCTACTATTTATCAGTGAACATACATCACATCCTCCCTCCCCAGAAGGTGAGGGACACTCAGTCCAGAGCAGGGAAACCCATGTGATAGTGACCACAGATCACAGAAGATCGTGTTCACACCTAAGATCATGTTCATGTTCAGTGAGCAACCTTTCCCGTGGCAGGGCAGCTCCCTGGTTGCTGCTGCTCAAATCCAACAGCTAGGACTTAAATAGTTTAGTTTCCAGGTTTCCAAAAAGGACACTCTGGTACTGAGAAAGAATATGATCAACCTGTTCGTAGGTTGGATATCAGGAAAAGATTATTCCCCTCAAGGGTGGTGGGGCACTCAACAGGCTCCCCAGGGCAGTGGTCACGACCCCAAACCTGCCAAGGAGCTCAAGGAGTGTTTGGACAAAGGTTGGATTTTGGGGTGTCTTGTGCAGGGCCAGAAGTTGGACTCGATGATCCTCGTGGGTCCTTCCAGCTCAGGAGATTCCCTAATTCTATGTTACTGTATCATCATGTATTTAAACCTCCTGAGAGGCTGCCAGCCAACAGCCAGCCAAAAAATTTGGGATCCACTTGCACATCTATGGGCATTTACAAACTAAAACAAACCAGAAAAATTACTCTGGGGCACAAACCAAGACATCAGTTACATTTTCAACATAACTAAAGCTCTAACAGCCATTTAATTACCAACATGCAATGAAACCTGATGGCCAGGGATCAAAGAAATGCAGGGAGCCTTGGCCATCTGACCCAGCAAGGAGACAATCCTGGTTTGGAAGGACAAAGTAATGCAGCAAATACAACTGTGTCTGTTTCTTTTCAAGTCTGGCACAATAAAAACCCCCCACACATCCTGAACACTTTGGAAAAACACCTGGTGGCATCGAAAACAGAAAATATTCCCCATATTTTGGGTGCCAAAGAGCTCACCAGGATAAAATGGCTCCTCAGAGAGGTATTTCGATTCCAGTAGTTTCCAACACAGGCAGATGCCCCCAAACACACAGGGTTGTTTCTCTTACCACGTTCTCCCACCTGCCTTCAGCCCCTGGGGCTGTTCCAAGCACACCCAACTTCCTCTCCTCCCCCAGGAGCTGCCATGGCACACCTGAACCTGCTCCAGTGGGAAGCAGCTGGAAGACCAACGTGGACACTCCAGCAAGGAGGGGAACACCAAGAACAGCCCTGGACAAGCTCTTGAAAGTCCAAGGGCTCTTCAAGGAGAAACTTGTAACTATTAGGATGGAAGAGGAATGGTTCTTCTTTTCTTTTCTTCCATCTTATTTTTCTTTACTAATTTATTACAAATCTGAATCAATTTTTCAATTTCCCCTGTTATGACCAATATATAGAACAGGTTCACTTGTTTTCAGTGCCCTATACCTTGATATTAATATACTATATTGCACTCCAAGACTGACTTTTTGTTGCTGTTTAATTGGCCAGGGTTACACTAAATTAGGATGACAACCTTGCTCCTAAATTTTAATTACAGATCTCTTCCTATAATATTTGAAATATCTTCTCCCTTCCTCCAGTCAAGATCCTCTATTTTCTGATGCTTTTAAATGCCCCTGTGCACAGGCCAGAAGAACTGCTCACTGTGTGTAACTTCGTCATGATGTTGGATAGCAATGTTGGATCTCTTATGAGACCCCACCTCAAGCACTGTGTTCAGCTCTGGGGCCCCCAAATCAAGAAGGACATGGACCTGTTGAAATGTGTCCAGAAGAGGCCACTAAACTGACCACAGGGCTGGAGCCCCTCTGCTCTGGAGCCAGGCTTGGAGAGCTGAGGCTGCTCAGCCTAGAGAAGTCTCTGGGGAGACCTTAGAGCCCCTTCCAGTGCCTAAAGGGGCTCCAAGAGAGCTGGAGAGGGACTTTGGACAAGGGCCCAGAGTGACAGGACAAGTGGGAATGGTTTCCCTCTGACAGAGGACAGGGTTAGATGGAATACTGGGAAGAAATGCTTCCCTGTGAGGGTGGGGAGAGCCTGGTATGGGTTGCCCAGAGAAGCTGTGGCTGCCCCATCCCTGGAAATGTCCAAGGCCAGGTTGGACAGGGCTTGGAGTAACCCAGGCTAGTGGAAGGTGTCCCTGCCCATGGCAGAGGGTGGAATGAGATGGGCTTTAAGGTCTTTCCCAACCCAAATCAGTCTGTGGTTCCATGATCAAGCATCAGGCAATAAAGCTGTTGTTCATGTGGCTATAAAATACACTGCATTAGTCCTGTACTCACCAGCTTGTTCCTGATGTCCATGTCACACAGAGCCTCGGCCAGGATGGAACACGCCTCCTTCACTCCCCAGTGCGCGGCAGCGTGGAGGGGAGTCCAGCCATCATTGTCCTGGACATTCAGATTAAACCCAGCCTGGATCAGAAGCCTGGGAAAAGAAGCAGTACTGATCTCAGCTCATCCAAGAACGGCTTCATGACTGAGCAGAGGTCCCCTGTGAGGCATGGAGCAGCCCAGCTCACCCTCAGGAGCTTCTGTACTTTATTCCCCCAAGCAACACCCCACTCCATGTGCTCCAAACCGGGATGGAAAAGGGCAGTAAATGAAAAGTGACTTTGATGTAAAATCTGCTGGAACATGTCAAATTGATGTTTCCTTTCAGCATGCCATAAATTTGGAGAACACCTTAGTTTCTCATCTGGCATTGGTGACCCAGCCTGAACTGTTGTTCGAGTGGAGGAGACAGCCTGGCCTGGCTCAGGCACTGAGCACACAAACAGCATCTCTGCAACTGCATCCCCACAACAGGGAGCCAAGTACAGCACCTGCCATGAGAGGGAAGTTTGGGAAATGGAGCTGGGGCTTGGTTCTACCAGAACACAAGGCCACAGTGTGAGATGGTCCATAAGGAGACCAGCAGGACTGCCAGGTAAGCACCAGTGACATTACTGTGATTGACAGGGGTGAAATTCATATGTTAAATAATCCACATTTGGGTTAAACAACCCAAAATGCATTTTTTCACACTTGCATAGTTCAAGTAAATCTTTCCCAAGTGAAGCTGCCTGGGAACTCCCAGGCACTCACTGCTGTGCCCCTTCCAGCCCTCCCTTCTCCATCAGACCAGAGTGCTGGTGTTTCACAGCATCTGGAGCTTGAATATTTAACACCAAAACAAACACAAGAGGGTCAGTGCAGTCTGAGGCTCCAGAGCCATGTGCACACCTCTGTGGCAGTGATCAGGTGAGAGCACTGAGCAGCTCGTGCATCAAAACTACTATCCAAGTTCCTTAAATATTGAAGATCATCCCAGGGGAATTCTGCAAATCTGGTAAAACTGCTACTGAAAATTTCCATCACGGGAATTTCCACCATCCAGAGCCACCTCTGCGCAGCAGGAGCGAAATCCAGCACGACCCCAGAATGGCATCAACAGCTTGGAAACTCCTGTAGCTTTACATCGATGTGCCACTGTGCTAAATAAAACACAGTGACAGTAAAGCAGCTGTGGGCTTCTCTGTGAAAGAAATTTTAAATTAGGTGCTGACTTTCTGTTGGTTTTCCAGCTGGCAGAAGGGAGGAATAGAGCTGCTAAGAGTCTCAAGGTCACAGACAAATTCCATGTCCCATTTAGAGTGAGCTGGATCCTGGCTGTCAGCCCCTTTGGTTTAAGTCACTGAAGATTTGTATCTGAACTTACAGCGTGACCATAATATACACAAGAGATAAACAACGTCAGTCTGCCCTGAGATCTGTTTATCATTACCACAATTAATGCCAAGGAGTCGTTCACAGCAAAGTGACTCTGCACACACAGTGAACTTCATCAAGGAGCACTGGATACACAACCCTCCTCTGACAGTCCACAGGACCAACACCTCAAATGCAGGAGATATTACATTTCTATTCACATGAGCTGTGTTAGATTCCTGTTCTCAGGCATGGCACAGGCACAGACAGCTCATGACTCAATTATGTGCTCTAATGACTGAATACAAGTTAGAAACACGGAGAATAATAAAATTGCTTGAGCTTGAGATGAAACAGTTCTTATGCATGTCACTTAAAATTATGAAATTGAGAATCAAGACAGATGAACACTTCCAGAACAGATTCTAATGTGGACAATAGAGTAACCTTGGAAAGACTATTTACAAGCCCATGTAGTGACAAAAAAAGGGAGAATGGCTTCCCACTGACAGAGGACAGGGTTAGATTACATATTAGGTAAAAATTCTTCCCTGTGAGGGTGGTGAGGCCCTGGCACAGGTTGCCCAGAGAAGCTGTGGCTGCCCCATTCCTGGAAGTGTTCAAGGCCAGGTTGGACAGGGCTTGGAGCAACCTGTGCTAGTGGAAGGTGTCCCTGCCCATGGCAGGGGATTGGAATGAAACGAGCTTTAAGGTTCCTTCCAACCCAACCATTCTGGGATTCTATGATTCCATGTTTATAGCAGTTCCACCCCCAAAGAGCAGAGAAGAAAGTTCTATTTTGGAAATCTTAATGTGACCTTACCTGTAAAAATACTAATGCTTTATTGCCAGGAAACCCTAAATTGGGCAAGCTGATGTTCATAATAGTCTTGTTAGTGCCAGGGCAGCAGAACTGCCAGGTGCTGGAATACCTCTGTCACTGCAGGAGCAGCAGCACTAAGAGGCAGAGGACAGTGAGACAGAGGTGGACACTGGGTTTTCCCATTAGACTGGTCACGTAAACTTTTGGGGTGTTTGTGACTGTCATGCATTGTGTGTTGTCACTTTGTAGCCAAAATTATACTTTCATCCCCTAATACTGTTTAACTTGCTAGTCCTAAAACTATTACTCTAATAGTGAAAATGAGACCTCCTATGCCTTGCTCTTTGAAAAGCTTTCCTCACTTCAAAGGCCTGGAGGAATGAACTCCAGTCCCTGTGTATTTCTGTGTGAACCACTGTGGCTGGGCACATAAAACCACAGAGCCTTTTGAGAAACAGCAGCCTGAAAATCTCAGTATGGAACAAATTTCTCTCAACTGTAAAGCCAGATGTGTTCTTTACAAAAACCAGCCCTAATTCAACGCATCAGCCCTGGGGAGGAGCTCCTACCTCATGACTTCAGAATAGCCCTTGGCTGCAGCAACATGAAGGGCTGTGGCTCCTGTCCGAGGCTGCTTCACATCCTCAATTCTCCCACTGTTCAGCCACTGCCGGGCATCCTGGAGCATCTGCTGCTCCTCTTCTTTCCTTGACAGGTCTAGGTCTACACCTAAGAGGGTGAAGCACAGAAGAAGAGATGAACAAGGGAAAGCTCTTGAGTACTTGTTAAACTTACCCCATGCTTCATTTGCTGCACAATATTAGTAAACTATCTGTAATCTTCCACAAAACAATCAGCAAAAGCACCTTCTGTGCGCTGGCAGAGCTCCTGTGTCATAGGCAGAGACTTCAAAAACAGTCTGACTTAATAAATCTGAAAGTTGGGCCAGTGGTTGCAACCCACCCCAAGGAACTACAAGCTTAGAAGTGCACTAAGGGTGGAAGGATTAAATTCTAGATATGGCAGATTGAAACAACATTCTACATATGCCTGTGTGTCCCAGATTGAAACAAAAAAGTCATGAACAGCATCTTAACCAACTGAATTGTCTGTAATGAGAGTGTAATCTGTAGTGAAGGTCCGAAGACTTGATTCTTGGGCGTCTCCTGCAAGAGCAACGTCAGCCCAACTCTGTGCACACTCAAAGTTCAGGACAAGTGACACCCAGAGTGATCTGTACTGCTCCAGAGCCATTCCTGCCAGGCACGCTGAGAATTACCGCACTGAGCAGCAAACCCCCTGATTCTGACAAAACACAACCCTAAATCATATGGGGATGAGAAAGCCAAAAAAAAAATCTACTCTGGTGGCTGTCACTGCTTTAGTTGAAGTCAGATCAGGTAAGTTCATCAATACACACATCTGGAATAGCAGACACATGGACTGTGAGGCTCTGTGACAACAAAAGGGACGAGTCTCCCAGCTTAGGAAATGACTGCTATGGTGCAGAAAGACAGGTGGATGATTGGAGAGGCAAGTGGGTCTGGGTGACAGACTGTGTCAATTCTCACTAAACCAACAAGAGGCAAAACTAACTTAGACTTGTTTTCCTAAGTGAAGTTTTCACAATAATGAGGTCATGGAAGGTTGACGTATCAATCACAAGTATGATACAGCTCCACACAAGATTAATCAGCTCAGAGCTTGCTGACTCAGGACAAAATACAAAGGAGAAGATGACAAATCTCAAAAATCAAGAAGGGTGTTGAAGAGCAAGTGTCCCTACAGATTAATTCTTTCAGTATGAGGATGGCATGATTCCAAATTAAATTATGGGGCATTAGGCTTAAAACAGCACCAAAGAAAACACTTCACCCAGAGTCTGACCTGTGAGACCCACTGCTGCAGGATGTTGCAAAGATCAGAAACACAACTGTCTGCAGAACAAGGATCTGACAAGTCTGTAATTATTACTCATAATGCTGGACATGCTGGATCTCCCAAGGAGGGCTGCACAAGCTCATGAAACAGAAAATCATGGAGGATTCATGAGTACACAGAAAGCCCATCTCACTCAGGAACTCCTGGAGGCACAGTGGCTGGAGACTGGGAAATGTCTGGGAGGGGAATTGTACACGCTTGAGCTGTTGTTCCAGTTTGCAGCAGGCATCTGTTTCCAGTCACTGCTGAGGACAGGCCATTGAGCAGGACAAAGCTTATTTAAAGTTGAACCCCATTTCCTCCAGCAGTTATGAGCCTTTAAACTGTGTTGATAGGAAGCTTCTCAGTGGAGACAGATGGTTGTTTCAGGGCATCTTAGCAGGATGCAGCTAATGTGGTGAAGCAATGCAAGCAGAATCCCAAAAAGTGTCAGGCAAAATACCTGCAGCTGAGGCAGGATCGTTGCCTTGATGTCCTGTAAGGTTTCAACCACGTTATCACCAGGTTCAAGACCATCTAAGGATCCTGAAGGTGCACAAGTCCGTGGGACCTGATGAGATGCATCCAAGGATCCCAAGGGAGATGGCGACGGAAGTGCCTAAGTCACCCTCCATCATATTTGAGAAGTTGTGTCAGTACGGTGAAGCTCCCACAGACTGGAAAAAGGGAATTATAATCCTCATTTTTAAACAGGGAAAAGAAGACCTGGGGCGCTACAGGTCAATCAGTCTCTCCTCTATGCCCAGCAAGATCATGAAGCAGATCCTCCTAGAAACTATGATAAGCAGATGCAAAATAAGGAGGTGATTGGTGACAACCAACCTGTCTTCTCTGAGGGGCAAACTGTGCCTGACACAGCCCTGTCTGACGGGGTAACAGCGCTGGTGGATGAGGAAAGAGTGACTGACACCATCCACCTGGACTGGTGCACAGCATGTGACACTGTCCCACACGACACTCTTATCTCTAAACTGGAGAGACATGGATTTGGTGGATGGAGTACTCAGTGGATGAGGAACTGGTTGGATGGTGGCACTCAGAGTTGTGGCCCATGGCTCGATGTCCATGTGGTGCCCAGTGCCGAGTGGTGTCCTCAGGGGTCGGTGTGGGGACTGGTGCAGTTTAACCTTTGTTGGTGTCATGGACAGTGGGATTGATGCACCCTCACCCAGGTGCTGATGGCACCGAGCTCTGTGTGGGGTCACACGCCACAGGGAAGGGATGGGACACCCAAAGGGACCTGGACAGGCAGGAGAGGTGGGACCATGTGAACCTCATGAAGTTCAATGAGATCAAGCACAAGATCCTGTCCCTGAGTTGGAGCAACTCCAGGCACAAATCCAGGTTAGGAGATGAATGGATGGAGAGCAGCCCTGGAGAGAAGGACCTGGGGGTGCTGGGGAATGAGAAGCTCAACATGCCCTGGCTGTGGGCAGTGACACCCAGTGTGCTGGGCTGAACCCACAGGCTCCGGAGAGCTGGGGGTGCTCAGCCTGGAGAAGAGAAGGCTCTGGGGAGACCTTAGAGCCCCTTCCAGTGCCTAAAGGGCCTCCAGGAGAGATGGAGAGGGACTTCGGACAAGGGCTGGAATGACAGGACAAGGGGGAATGGATTCCCACTGCCAGAGGGCAGGGTTAGATGGGATATTGGGAAGAAATTCTTCCCTGTGAGGTGGTGAGGCCCTGGCACAGGTTGTCCAGAGAAGCTGTGGCTGCCCCATCCCTGGAAGTGTCCAAGGCCCCTTGTCTATGGCAGGGGGTGAAATGAGATGGTCTTTAAGGTCCCTTCCAACCAAAATCATTCTCTGATTCTATGTACAGCTCTTGATACTCACTTTAAAGACCCAAGTTACACTGATGTAAAGAAAGGATCTCTGTCTTTCTGGGCATTCAATAAAGCCTGAGTGCCAACAGGAAAAAGGCATGGCTTGGATAGTCCAGTAAAACAAAGGCTGACTGCAGACACAAATCTTTTTTTTAAATACAAGAGCAGAGTAAATATAAGGGAGAAGAGCTATTTAACCTTATATTAAAGGGGATGGTAAAGGGGAACAAAATAAGAATAACCTTGTCACAAATATCCCTGGACTAAAAAGTGAAGTTTTTGTTTAGAAGGAACTTGATCCTGCATCAATTTTCCAAGAGGAGCACTACAGTAAATGAAAACCAGCTCTCAGATGAACAGCTACAAACTCACCTGTGGAACAGTAACACGGGTGACAAAGTACCACAGGACTGATCTCTTCCCTAACTACACCTGAAAGGAGCTTCAAAAATAAAGTAACCACCATATGTCAGAATATATTTGACAGGGGACTGGATTCAATCCAGCATGCAAACAACCCCCACATCAACCTGCAGGCATAAAATAATCCACACTGAAAATAATCTTTGGGGATCTCTAGCCCAAATCCCTGCTCAAAGGAGGGTAACTTCAAACCCAGATCAAATAGCTCAGAGCTGAATGCAGCTTTGATTACATCCAATGATGGGAGTTCCAGAAATTCCTTGGTTCCCTGTTCCATCACTGCATCCTTCAAAAACATTCTTGATGAACTTCATAGACAGGATTTAAACTTCTCACCCACATGTACATACATTTAATGACTCACAGATGAATTCCATGGGTATGAAGAAAATGTCACACTAATAAAGCATTTCTTAATTATAACATCAGCTACACGGTCCAAGATGATTCTTCTACTGGGAATGTTTGTGCAGGGACAGCCTGGAGAGCAACCCCTCAGCCAGGCACACCTGATGAGAAAGGGAGCATGGCAGATGGGCTGCAGAACTCTGGGGAAGGATCAGGATAAAGCAGGTCACTCCAGGCCTGGAATACTCACACCCTGTTTCCTCCTCTTGGCAGTGCTGTAAATCTCACCTCTGTTTTATCAAGTCTTAGTGAAACAAGACCTTTTAATGATACCAGAGGTCAGAATTACATCTCACTTTAAAAGCAAACAGATCTAATGATTCAGATTTCAGTACTGTGGTGTCTTGCCTTGAAGAATCCCAAGGGCAGAGACCACACACCACAAACCTCCTGCATCTGCAGCACTGTCCTGACAGCAAAATAAAATCTGTCTGCTGTCTCCTGAGCCAGATTTTAGATCTTTTCACTTACAGACAGCAAGCCAGCAGAGTTCTCTTACGGACATTTTTAGGCTCTAACTCTCCCATATTCAATCCCACACCTGATTTACCTTGCTTCTTTACTTGTTCCAGAAGCAGGTCCTTCATGGCTGCTTCCTCTGCGATGTCAGACGGGACCTCCCCTTCGCTGTTCACAGCAGCCACGTTGGCTCCATGGCTAATCAAGTACCTACATGAATGAGACCCAGACCAGCACATCAGACCTTGTCTGAAGGCTTCAGAGCAACTTAAACAGTGCAGCAGGCAGCCCAAAAACATATTTGCATTCTCATTCAAGTTCAATCACCAAATGAGTACTTTATTCCTAGCCAATTTCTAGACTAAAAAATGTTCACTGTTAATGCAAGATCCCTGCTTGGGGGCTCATAGTTTTCTTTTCTCTATAGTTATTTAAATACCCCAGGTTCTTGCACTAATCTGGTTGATTATCCCCTAAAAAGAAAAGAAATTGTAAAAAAGGGCAAGCTAAGCCATCATCAATTTTTAAATTTGTCTTCTATACCAAAGAGATATACAAATGTATAACAGTATCCATCACCTGGGTACCTGCTCCGATGAGAAAGGCACAGGAAGTGTTATAAATACCCGGAATAGCCCGAAACTCACTCACTCTGCTATGTTCAGATAGCCACAGGATGCCACTGCATGGAGAGGGGTCCAGCCCTCGTTGTCTTGCTGGTTCACATTGGCTCCATTTTCTACCAGAAACTTCACCATGTCCAGGTTTTCATCAATACAGGCCTGAGGGAGGAGAGAAGGGGAACATCGAGGGAGGAGGGGAGGTGAACATGCAGGGAGGGAAGGATTGAAGAGAAAGGGAAGGGAGAAAAAAACAGGGTGTTGGTATGAAATCAAGCATACAACCCCCACTTGCAGGTTATTGGCAGCAGGTAATTCCTGGGCTGAACTATCCACGCTGTGGGCAAGCACACCTTAAAGCTTAGGGTAGCATCAATTTGTGAACTGAAACAAATCAATTTGTGAACTTTCAAAAAGTAATTGTAACTCAGATTCCCCAGGTGGACAGCCTCTGAATTTTCTCAAGCTTTACCTCTCACCATTGAATTGTTTCCTTCCTCACTCCCCCACTGTTACCTCACCACAGCTGGGATGCTGAAATGATGGATCTCTATTAGTTTTAGGTATGGCATCAAATCCCTCTAAGCAAGGCAAGTTGTGTACTCATTTAGATTATGTTGATCCTCAAAATGTCAATGAAAAGAAGTCATAATAGTGAACAAAATGAGGCCTCACTAGTGGCAGGGATGGGCAGGGAAAGCAGGAGCTGAAGAAGCCTGACCAAAGCAGCCCACCTGTGTACAGGTCACCTTTTACCAGGGCAAAAGTGGGGTTTTAGAGAACTTAATAACTTCTTCATTCAGCAGTATCTCTCAGTTTTCCTGAGTATAACACAGTACAACTTTCCCTGTTTGCTCTACAGTCCTGTGAGCTGCTGAAGAGAACGACAGCCCTTGATGAGCCGCTGTAGTCATTCCTGAGCCTGCTTTGAACTTGTCAGAAGAAAACACAGCTTGATTTTCAAGTCTCAGCAGTTCTGTTGGGTGGAATTCCTCCTTCCTCAAATTCCTGGCTCTAGCACGTTCTGCGTTGCATGTACAGCTCACTGGAAGCTGCTGTTTAAGGATGAGCTGGCAATTTAATCCATACCTCCGAATGCGTTTGCCTCCGCTGGGAAGCACTGGGCATGACCAGGAGGGGCAAGGACTGGCTTTTACTGCGTGTCCATCCACAGGCAGAAACCCAATCCCTCATTACTAGAGAGGGAAACAGTCAGAATTGCTCCAGAATCTCTGCACTCGATATCTTTGCACAGCTCAATGTGGGCACATCTATCCCTTATGGTAGTCGGGTGATTCCCAGATGATCTGTCTATAAAGAGCAGCACTGATTATCCATTCCTGTCCCAGCAAGGAATGAAAACGAGGAATCCTCTCTAACCAACATCCCCACACACACCAAAAAGAGACAATCCTGTATTATCTAACATTTCACCTCTGCTGCACTGCTCATGTCAAAGGAGAGGCACATCCTGCACCAGGACATCCAGCTCTTTCTACTCCTATTGCAAGTAGAGCTGGACTCGATGATTCTTGTGGGACTTTTCTAACTCAGGATACTCCATGATTCCAAGTACAATCCCAAACTAGCTGTTTAGGCTGCAAACATGAGTTGTGCCTCATTTGGTTGGTTCACAAAGAGCCATGCACAAGCCTAGCTTTGAAATCTCCAAGGAGGCACATTCCGAATTAACTAACTCCTAGTGCAGGTACTGGGCAAACATGAGACAACACAGGGGACAGGTGTCCCAGGAGCAGGCTCAGTCCCGACTGGAGCCTATGCTGAAGGGTCAGTGTGTTTCCTGGCCCTGTTTTAGATTGGTTTACCTGATCCTTGGTCAGGAAAGCACAAGCATAACTCCAGAAGTCATTTACTTCAGGAGCTGCTCCAAATCCAGAATGGCTGAGCCTGACCTGGGCAGGCTCCATTCACCCTGCTCAGTCCATCAACACTGTCCCACCCTCAAGCATAAAACAGTTTTGTCCTGCAAACCCAGCTCTGAGGGGCTTTCCTTAGATTATTTCAGGCAGTAGAACTGGGGAAAAAAATAAAACCCCAAACCAAAAATCTTGGGGACTGAAAAGCATCACCCTGAGGCTGGAGGAGCTCTGGGTCAAAGCACGATGGGGTAAGACATGGTTAGGTCTGAGCAATGTGGATGCAAACCAGGTTCTACCACCAGGAGCAAGGGGTTGGTCTTCTTTTATTTAGATCCCCTGGTCTGACCCCCTGCTCAAAGCAGGGCTAAATCTGTGTGAGATCAAGTTGCCCAGGCCTGCTCCAGCCAGTTTTTACTGTCTGCTGGGATGGAGACTCCAGGCCTGGTCTGGTCCCTGCCCCAGTGCTTCACCCTCCTCTCTGTGGGTAATTTTTCTAATCTGGATTTTTTTCTTGCTGCAACTAGTTCCTCCTGCTCCAGCAGCACAGACTGAGCCTCCAAGTGTCAGCAGGTGATGAGGGCAGGAAACACAAGCCCAATATTCCTACTGTACAGGGGAACTAATATGCCCAGTATGCACACAGTTAAGACACACTCTAAGAAGGATAAACTCACGATTTCCATAATCCTGCCAACTGCACAAACCAAACTGTCAGTGTCTTGTGTCTGTACCAACACACTGAAACGCAGCAAGAAGGTGAAGGATGTGATGCACACAGAGGTGGACATGGACACACAGAGGAATCTAATAATCCCTTTTCAGTTCAAGGAGCAATTCTTTGGGAATTCAAGACTGAGCCTGCAAAACTCACAGCTCATCTCTTTTTTATGGCCACCCATATTTATTGTGATATACTTTGAGTTTCCCCCAACACACCTCATATAAATTACACTTCCTGATGAGTTATTTACATTTTGACCTGGGAACACAACCAGTACCAATCACTTCTTAAATAAAGCTGACTTTATCTAAAAGCATATTGCTCCGAGAATAGCCAAGGAAAGTTCGCCCACACAGTGGTTTCTTTTGGGCACAATCCCTCCTGGCTGCCCACAGAACCAGAGCCTCATTACAGAGGAATTTTATCAGCAGGGTTCTGCCAAAGCAGAGAGGTGAACGGTTCCTGCTCTGCTGGGTTTGTTTAAGTGTTACCTGCAGCTTGAGTGGGAATCTAAATTTAGACTGAAGAATGTCTCTATAGCATGAGCTTTGTATGTATTTCATAGAGAATTATATTTACACTGTTCATCAAACACACCTACTTCATCTGCATAGCCTGGGAATCAGCCAAGGGAAAAGCCCGGTTCTCGCTCAAGTCACTGCACTCTAAAGTGAAATATCTGTTTAAATGCATAAACAAGCCCCTCTCACTCTTTTAAATTTCTGCCTGTTGTTGCCTCACTGTTCTGCTGGTCCCATCCCTCGTGGTTCCAATGGAATGCATGCTCCAACCAGCAGGGATAATGGGATCAACCCCCACCTGTTCCCACACCGAAATCTGCAGTAATTCGACTCTCCTGGCTCCTGCAGGGAGAAAATGATGACAAAGTGCCAGGGCTCCGTGGGTGCTGACAGCAGCAGGCACTTGCTCCCTCCCCAAGGTAGCCATGGCCATTCCATGTCTGCTGCCTGCATTTACCACCAGGAGAAAGCCAAGTGCAAAGGGGGAGTAAGGCCTTAATGGGGCAGCAACATATTCTTTAATATGTAAGAAAAATAACCCTCACTCCACCCTTGTGCAGCTCATGAAAAGGGGCTCTTCAAGGCATGTGGTCAAGGAAAAGCTGCTGCTCAAGGGGTGTGATCCAGCCAGGGGATGCTGCTTGGCAAATACTGATTTTAGTGTGAGCTAATAGGAATAGAACTGAGCTCAGGGCAGAGTAACACAGTTTCCTAAGTGACAGGTACGATTCCTTGCCTGCCTCAAATACCAAAATGTAAGAACTTTTTGCACTGTTGTATCATTACATACTACTAATTACACTGAGAGTTGAAAAAGTGAGGTGGAAAAGGAGTTTCCAAACATGGCATTTGATAAATAGAGGTACTGAGTAACCCCTGCTCAGCTCTGAAAAATCTCATTGTGGTCTTATTTTAGAAACTATCAGACAAAGAATTATTTACATCACTTTTTAGTCAGATACCCTAAAAGAACACACTGCTTGCATCTTAATATACTATGACATATTTAACACATCTCAGAGCAAGAATTATGAGGCCAACAACGTGGAAAATGAATTGGTAATTTCTACAGATCTGAATGTTAAAAAGCCTTTATAAAGGCTATAACAGATTAAATGGCAGCTTTTAGGGGTTTCAATGTATTTCTGTGTGTCTTTTTAAGGTATCAACTGAATAAGACTAATATTTTACCAGGGAATTCACACTTGCACACACAGTAATGGTGTTAATAGTTTCATACATGACATCATTTTACCAAGACACAAATTAAGGAACAGAAATTCTCTCTGTTTAGAAGTACTCAGGGCACACACTTGCCCATCTACAATTTTTGAGAGCCCTGAGTGCTGATATCTCTCCACCAAATTTCTGCTGCATGTTTTCTTGTGCATATCTGCCAAAATAAAGCACTGTGAATGAACCAGCCCATAAGAAAAACACTCCCACTGGGATTCAGGGGGCAAAGCTCCCCTTCATGCTGAGCCAATTCGGTTACCTGAGGTTACTGGGGGAAGGAGAAGAGGACAAAGAGGAAGTAAAAGGGTAGATATGTCCTCCTTTAAGTACTATTAATCCTCCAACCTTAAATTTAGGAGAGTGAATAAGTTTAGTAACCCGAGAGGATCTATTGCTATGCAGAGTTCTCCTCTCTTATTTGATATGGTGTTCCTTGGGAACAGGGTAAGAACCACGACTTCGGAGAAGAGAGTCACAAAGCAGATTCCTGCTCTCCAGCCCCAAAGGGAGGGGCCAAAGTCAAAAAGAGCTGGTTCAAGAAGTAATGTTGCCATTTTGGTGGGTAGTTACTTCATGTGAGGAAACACTCCCTCTCCTAAACCATCCTTGAAATCAGGCATAAAGAAAAAAACAGGGATAGGCTTAATTCTTTCAGTTTTAGGTCCTGCTAACCCCCAGCTGCTTGGTTCACACGTAGGAGAGGCTAAAAGCAAGGTTAACTGCAGAGCACAGCAATTTTGTCTTTAAATTTATAATTCCTTTTTTATCTTCTCTCTCTGTACAAGCTCTAACATAACCTTCAGG